TGCATTTTAACTACTGTAAATTATTCAGGGAATAAAACAGTATTTTGTCTGTATCTGTAAAATGTGTATGCTTATGGTGCCATAACTTAAAACTGATGATTTTTGTTTAAAAACAAGTTCAGTGGTGGAAGGGCATTGAATTAAACCATAAATAGAGTCTGTGATTTGGACACATCGTGTGACGTATGGATCACTTTCTGTTCTTTTAATTTCCCCACAGATTATATGCATTAAAGCTCTCTAGAACCATAAGGCACACTATTATTAACCTATTTCATAGGTTGCAACACACAGTAATACTAAGGTTTAAAAACAATTTTCTATGGCAGTAGCTAACTACACTCTAATTACAGATGGGTCCATACTAATCACTCCCCAAATGATTGCTCCAAAAGTTTAGAAAAGGGCACTTAAAAAATTAGATTTCAGTGCTGCAGTTCAGATACTGATGATTCTGAAAGGTTAAATGAAAAAATGTGCCTAAACATTTTTGGAAAGAATCTAGTTTCTACTTCATCACGTTACCTCTTAGCTTTGGCTGAAACTTGCTTTCCGATTATCCCCTGGTAATATTGTTATGGGAAAAAACAGAACACGCAAGTTAAGAAGCAATTCATGCAAACTAAGGCAAAAGTTATTCTTGCGATTTAACCAAGGATGCGTCACTTAGCAGACAAATTAAATACATAAGCAGCTCATTAAAAACGCGCACACATGCAATTGTGGCACAAGATGTTTTCCAGCCATTTTTGTACATACATTAGTTATGAATGCATTGATCTATATCTTTAATTAGAACACAAGTCTAATCTGCTGATTAGAATTAATTTATATTGCATCTATACAAGTAAACCAATTATATGGGTTTAAGCACAACCACCTCTTATCACCCATAGCACACAGTGTTCTGCAGTTCCTAGCAGAGTGGCAAAGTTCGGTATTTGTCAGCAAAATACACAAGAGCTTAACTGGTTCCATTTAATTAAAATGCATATTTACATTGAACAAGCTAAAGTTCCAAGCAATAAAAGTTATCCCTCACCTTCTACACTACACAACAGGTTGGTCCATTCAGAGGAAAGGCCAATCTACCATGTAGGCTGCCACAAACCAAGAATCTACACTGCATCACAGAGAGCTTTGGGGGTGTATGAGCCAAGGGTGGATGTAAAAAGGCCCAGGTAATTACACCCACAGAACGGAGAAGACATGGGTATCCAATAGAGAGTCAGGAGGGGCAGGGAAAAGAGCCATTTCCCATGAATACAATGCAGCTTCATGCCTACAGAAGCTTTGCCAATGGCCAGCAGATGAGGCAAAATTTGAATTGAATGCAGGCTTTAAGCATCATACCAGTCACTAGAATTTATTAAACAGAATAAATAATTCTTCAACTATCAGTGCATCATTTTTATCATTAGTTTAGAACCACTGTTCCATTGCCCTCCCAGTTACTACAATATAAACAGCAGGAAACGTATGAACATTCAAGCGACATGAGTGGGGAAAAAACCTTGTCACACATTTACACAGATACTTACAGAGCAGCAGCACCAGAAATGATCTCAATAAGCTCCTTGGTGATGACGGCTTGACGGGTACGGTTGAACGTCAAGGTCAATTTGTCAATAATCTCAGCTACAAATAAAAATTAAAAAAAAAGTGCAATTTAGAGGGTAGAATCTGAAAGTGAAAAAAGTTAAGACATTTCCCTTGGTTCTAGGTGGAGCATGGTACAATATTGTTAATTCACACCAACAACTGGGTGACCCATTGCAATTTACTAAATATTGTTAACTACCTAGGAAAGGAAAAATAAAAGGTATTGCATGTAAGGATGTAAGCAAGTAATCGACTACTCAATAAGCATAAGCTTATTGAGTAGTCAAGTGGAGTACTCAGCTACTCACCTCTCCCCACCACCCTGCTGCCCCTGAATGAGAGGCAGCAAGGAGGGCGGGAGGGGAAAAGAGCAGGAGTTGGTGCTGGGGAGGGCCAGCTTAAAAGCCAGTTCCTCCCAGTACGGTCTCCATGGTGCTGCCTGCCCTCCCCTGTCGCCTCTATCAGTCGGGCGGGGGTGGGTGAAAAGGGGAGGAGATAGGGGAGGCGGCTCTGGAAGGAGCCCGTTTGCAGCAGCCCAGGCAGAGCAGCTCCTGGCCATGGCCAGGGCCAGCCCGGGCTGCCGCAAATGGACTGTTGGACCTGGTGTGAGCCGGAATTGAGCAGTCCCAGTTCACACCAGCTCCAGGAGCCAGCCACACTACAGCTCTGCAGAGGGGCCCCCTTATTGACTAATTGTGTAGTCGATACAAACTGTATTGACTTCATAATTAGCCAAATAATTGCTCTTTAACATCCGTAACTGTATGCCAAGATGTATTTTGATAACTTATTTTGTCAGCTGAAGGTCAGCTTTAATTATAGTATCTCCAACTAGAAAATGCACTGTGATGTAATGTGTTAAGACAATCAAGTATTTATAGTATGAGACCTCACTATCTGCCATCAAGTCTCCTATAGCTGTGTTGCAATGTGTCCCCTCATGGGTAGCTATACTGGAAGGTCTTCTCAAAAGGGAAAAGCTGTACTTGTATAAGCAAGTTGTCCTTGTTCTTACCAGCACATATCTCTAATTGGGAATCTGCCTGGTTTCCCATTAATTCCTTTTTAGAGCTGAAGAGGGACCTTCCTCATGCTGAAAGGAGGAGGCCAGCAAGAAATGTTCCCAAACTCCTTCTCGTCCCACTCCTCAGATAATAGAAGATTTATGAATTCACTGTGCTATCCTCTGTACAATGTGACTGCATATTTAAAAATATGCTTGCCACCAATGTTCCCTCTAATCTTATTTTTTACATCCATGTGTGGATTTTTCCCATCCACATGCAGAATAATTTTATGTGCATTGAGGCATGTGTTAATGTGCACCATCAGTAAAAACAAAAAACCCAGCTGTGGGTACTCTGCTAATCAGTTGGGCAGCATTTGTATCTCTCCTGCATGACCTCACAAACACACAGCTTACAGCAAACTCTGCCCAGCACCACGTACTAAAACTGAAAGTCATTTGTTTTCCATCATTAATGGCCATTGTTCAACATTTGCTTTGTACTCAGCTTAGACCAAAAGAAAAAAAAAACCCAAACCCTCAAAAAACCCGCACACAACCACACACCTCATTTCATTGATGCACGATCATGATGGCAAAATGCTCTGAACGAAAACAGTGAAAGGGAGCGGTTTAAATCCAAACAGTAATTTTTCTCTTGGAATTTAAAATAGAACAAAAATACATAGAAGTTCTTGATCTAAGGCTGTGTAAAACTGTTGTTTGCACACATAGCAACACTTACATTTTGTTTTTTGGAATTAAATAATTCAAAATGTACCCAATACCAAATTCCACCTCTTTTGCCACATTGCAGTACTGTAGTCCAAAAACTTAATGGTTGTGGCCAAAGGAAAAAAAAATGGATTCAGTTAATTGCTTCTTCACCTACTTTTGTGTGACCTTGCGTAAGATTTGAAATGTAGCTTCAGTTTCCCCATCTATAAAACTGATACAATAGTAACAATAGTAATAATCTTAGATCAACAGAAATACTTTGCAGAATTCTTGTGTAACAGTGTAATCCACTTCTAGCCACTCTTGCTTCCCATATCATGAGAACTGGATACAAAGACTACAGTGTTACCCAAAAGTAGGCCTTTCTTTCTGGGGACCAAGTAATATCTGATATCTTTGGGAAACCTAGCTGTACTGGCTGAAGAGAGAGCAACTATGATTGTGGGACTTGAAAAGCAGGGAGATGGGCTAGAAATCAGAGCATCTTTGTTTGTTAGCAAACTCTCAGAAAACAAACAAGAGTGTACACAAGAGATGATGAACTTCTGCTTAATCTTGCTAGACCGTTAAATTCTATACACCCCAGATTATCCTTACAAGCATTTTTGCTGGCGTTGTCCATAGCAGTCATTCTGGCACTCTGCTCACTGGTGGTGGATTCCTTCAGAGAGTAGAAGAGGATGTTTGCTAATGTAAACTCCTGGTAGTTTCTCAGCACATCAGCATCAATATCATCATAGATACTAATGCTTTCTGTAAGAATGGGGGAGAGAAGGGGGGAAAAAGGAAAAAACGTAGTCACATCCTATTCAAGATACTGTAGCATTAAGAATTACTGACATACTTTTGCTTCCTACCACACAATATTGTTGACAGTGAAATCAAATTTTAACTACTACTTGTTCGACAAAAACAAGCAAAATCATGTCCCTAACTCAAAGGCCAAATCCCAAATTAATGTTAATGTGGTAAAAGTCGTAATATCTTGAACACTATCCCACTCTCACAAATGACATTCTTGGACTGTCATACATTTAAGTACCTAACCCATGTGCTTGGTTTTGTTACTCCCACTCTCACAAATGACATTCTTGGACTGCCATACATTTAAGTACCTAACTCACGTGCTTGGTTTTGTTATGACAACTAACTCAAACCATGAGAAATATGGTCTTTCAAAAGACAGCGCTGAATAGAACTGTACAGTCCATTTGGGAACTTACCAGCACCAGCAACAGCATCAAGAGAGTAGAAAGGTTTTTCATCTGTCTTGTAGGAAATGACAGACCTACAAGAGAGAAATGATTTTTCAAGATCTTTACTACTGTAAAAAAAGTCTAACAAATCAAATCCAAAAATTGATGGAAAACACTTTTGCCTTCCAAAACCAGAGATTAGCATTCAGGGGGGCTGTTGTGAACAGCTGACACCTCAAAAACCCAAGAATAGTGCATAAAAAATAAGCATGTTAGAGCACCATCACTTTTCATTGGACCTACATAATACCACTTCCATATATTGTATGAATCTACATTAAACTTCCATCATCCATATCTTTCTGTGCTTTCTTAAATCAAAAAAATATTTAAGACCAATTTCAGTTATCTTGCCTGAATCGATTGTAGATAACAGATCCTTCATCAAATTCATATCCAGAGTTTAGCAGCTCTGAGGCAATCATTGAAGCATCTCCAAAAGTAGGGGGTTTTCTTCCTACTTCTTTGAATGTCACCAGGAAATGCTTGCTGTGTGTCCTAAAATAAAACCAAGACAATGTGCTATTGTAGAACTTTGATTCAGGTAAACATTTAAGCCCATGTTTAGCTTTAAAAACAACGGTAGACCCACTGACGTAATTGGAACTATTGGTGTGCCTGAGGTTACGAATACACTTCACTGCTTTTGTAGACTAGGGCATAGGTGAAAGGAATTTTATTTTTCTCACTGGAATGGCTTCATGAGATGTATACCTAACATTTACAATAGTGAGGGTCTAGTCAGCAATCCCACTCTCATTCCAACATATTTCAGTACAATGCAACAATTAACACAAACCAGAATTCAACAAAAAACCAATTTTAGGATAATTGCAGGAATTTGTTTTACTGAAACTTGATTTTTTTCCACTGTCATTTTAAAATGCACAGGGTAATGTATTCCAAACTGCTTATTAAAGGATACCCAGCAAGTTTTTATTACAGAAAATTTAATACACTATTACTCAAAGATTACCTCTGAAGCAGGCCTCTTAACTTGTCACCCACTCCAACCACCATGACATCTTTCCCTGCATCTGAAAGGGTGCCAATTTCAGTTTTCATAGCTTTAGCAACAGAGGTGTGGATAGCACCACAGAGCCCACGATCAGAGGACACACCAATAATAAGGTGTTTCTTCTTGTCTTCAGGGACCTTGATTTCTGCTTTCTCATAGAGAGCTGGGGGAGAAGGAGAAAAAAAGAAAGAGTAGGAAAATTTGTATTTAAACCTAGTAATCTTAGAGACATTTTGAAATGGACTAAATATGACCACCTATTCTGACTAGAACCATTTCTAAAGGGACTCATTCATATTTTTGTCTGCTTATTATTGATATAATTAGCCTCTGTGGTTATTTCAGCTAAGAGAGAAACATACTTTTTTAAAAAAAAACTGCTTACTCCTGTGCATTTGGCAGCATTGTGTGTCTAGTCAGTTTCACTGTTGTGTTAATGCATTATCTTCTTATATCATTCCAAATGTGACTACTGCTTGTTTTCCCCCAGCTTTGGAATATCATGTTTACCAGTAACAGCAACAAAATTTAAACTGACAATGTACCAAACATACACATACAAAGGAAGGAAGAGGACAAGACATGGGCCCCAAATTGTTAGGTGTTGTTTCCAAGCTCATCCAGAGGACCGTTATAAACACAGATGGGAGAAGAAATTCCCCTATGTTTTCTAAAAAGACTTTAAAACATAATATTTAAGGGTAGCTGACAGAAAATAGAAATAAAGAATTTAGGAGTGTGAGTCTCATTGAAATTCTCCCCCTCAGTTCTGATGTCAGATACCACACAGACTTAAGTTTTCTTACCCAAGGCTCCTACTCCATACACTCTAGCAGGCTTCAGATCTCTCTCAGCTTTAGCATACTTTGCGGCAGCAACCATCTTCATGGACTTTGTAATTTTCTGAATGTTCTTGATTGACTTTAAACGCCTGGTAACTACAAGCATTCGAGGATTAAAACCGGGCAAGAGTTTCTAGCAGTTACAAATGAATCAGTTTCTATGAAAGAGATGACAAATCAAATGAGATTGCAAATTACATTAAACTAGCAAAATAATACAAATAGTAATTTTGATAGAATGTGAGCTCCACTACTTTTTTTTTTAAACACACTAACAATGGAATAGACTGTCAATTTTCAGAATGGAGACTTTGGAGAACACTGCCATTTCTCCCTCTTCAAAGACATGTAGTTGGAGCCAGTCTTGTCCAACATATTCATAGCAAAATGTTCAGAAACAAAATTACTCAAGACAGTTAGACTTGAGTAATTAGATTGTGAAGAGTTACAATGGGATCTGTCAAAACTAGGTGACCAGGCAACAATATGGCAGATGAAATTCAATGTTAATAGATGCAAAGTAATGTATATTGGAAAACATAATCCCAACTGTACATGTAAGATGATGGGCTTTAAATTAGATGTTACCAATTGATCTTGGAGTAATCATGCACCGTTCTCTGAATAGCCACTCAGCATTTTTTCACTGCCACTGCACACTAACAGAAGTAGGAAAAGAATAGCTAACACTGAAAATTATCATAATGCCACTGTATAAATCCAGGGCGAGCCACATCTTGAATACTGCATGCAGTTTTGGTTATCCCATCACAAAAAAGATGTATTAAAAATGAAAAAGGTGTAGAGAAAGGCAACAAAAATCATCAGGAGTATAGAACAGCTTCTACAGAAGGAGAGATTAAAAGACTGGGACTACACAACTTGGAAAAAAGGCATCTAAGGGAGATTATGACAGAGATCTATCAAATCAACGGTGTGGAGAAAGTGAATAAGTGTTAATTACTCCTTCACTTAACACAAGAAAAGTATTAGGGGTCACCCAACCAAATTAATAGGGAGCAGGTTTAAAACAAACAAAAGGAAATAAACTTTATGGGACCATGAGGAAACTTTGCCATACCCATGATAAATGGACATCTAGCTAACTAAAATTATGCCAGACTACGGATGTTGCCAGACCAGAGAGTGCCCAACTAGAGAGATTCAACCTGTACAATATTTAGGTTTGGAAAATAGAATGAAGTTAAGGCAGTCACAGCAGCCTCCACTCAAAGACCTTGGTTTTTCTACTTGTTTTATTTAGTGTAAAACTACTTGCAAGAGGAGCTGTGAAGATTCTGTTATGACTGTCATTTCAGATAATGAACTCCCACGTCCACATTTTTAAATTCAAAAGGGAGACATTTTCCTTCAAAATCAATGTACTGAACCGAGGTAGTTACAGTTGTACAGTAAAGTCTCAGTTATCCGACTTTCACTATCCGACCTTTCGTTTTATCCACCGGTGCCGCAGGTCACGTGATGGCACGGGGCTCCAGGGACACTTCATACCACAATGGCACGCAGTGTGGGCTTGGCAACCCTACTTCCCCATCCCACACCTGGGGCAGCTCACGCCCGTGCTGCGGACTCACCCGGTGCTCAGGTATGCTGGGCCCGTGGCCTGCTCGGGGCCCAATCCTGGCTGTCCTGCCACGTTAGCGGCTCCGCTTTTAGGAGCGGATCTGGACCCAGCTGGAGCAAGCAGGGAGTCCGGGCCAAGGCAGGAAGGGAAAGGGGTGGGGGAGGGTGGCGAGGGGAGGAGCCACCACCGGGCTGAGGAGAGGCAGGAGCGCTGGGGCCTTGGGCATGTTCGGGCCGCCTGGGGGAGAAAGGGGGAAGAAGAAGAGGGAGGACACGGCGTCCGGAATCCGCTGGGGAGGGGGCAGCGCTTGCGCCAACCGCCCCCGAGACAAAGAGCGGAGCCCGCTTGGGAGGCTCTCCCCCATCCTGCCGCCGCTGCCACTGCCATCCCTATTATTCGACATTTCCGGTTATCCAACCATCTCCGGTCCCGTTTAGGTCGGATAACCAAGACTTTACTGTAGTTAACATTACATTTTAAGACTGCTCCTCTGTAACATCCCATTCCTACCATATTATAAATAAATCAGAAGTACTTACTGTCTTTTAAGGTGGCCATATTCCTGACTTGGCCCCTGAAAATTAACAGAAACATTTAAACATGTGTGTTAAATACTACTCCAGTCTCCTATAAGTCTCTAATCTCTGGAAAATACTTGTCAAAATAAAAGTGGGTTGTTGCTCCTTAATGAATTAACTGCAGAGACACAGTTTGTTCTATGTTGATTTATATTCTGAACCTTATTCAGGTCTTCTCTTTTTCCTTTCTTCTCATGCAAAGCACATCTGTGTTTTATACCTTATTGCTTTAGAATGCGGATTAAATTTATCATACAGCATCAGTATCTGCTGTCCTGAAGAAACTGTTATTGAAATGCTATACACAAGGAGTAACGGGAGGAAACCTCAGAGAAAGGAATAAACCAACATCCCAAACTTCAAAATATACATGGGCACCTATGATAATTAACGAATAAGTAGATAATATTTCCCTTCGCTATCTGACAAGATCACTGTGACGTTTGCTGCATCGGTCACCAACAAGGGCAGGCTGGCTTTTCTCTTTGTTGCCAGGCACTGTTCATCTAACCCTAAAACTCATAACCTCTCTCCTATAAACTCATTTCTCCAGCAGACCTCCCACTGCAAACTGTCCACCTGCTCACATGCTTCCTCTGACAGACCTGTAACTTGTATAACTTAACATGACAATGTAAAAGAAAACACTTAAAATAAAAATCCCAGACAAATGACAAATGCATTCCCTCCACCCACCTTCCCTATTCTGTATTTCATCTATCAAATCGGCATGATCTTTGGGGCAGGGAACTGTCTTCCCTTGCGGATTAAAGCAGCAACAACATTAAGAAAAGTGACAGGAAGGATAAAACCCTTCGTATCGGGGGCAGCTTTACTGAACACGTATGAACTCCACTCCTTAAACTAGCACGTAGCTCTTATCCCCATCAGTAGGGTCTGAGCAGAAACAAGGGCCTGGCCTGACAAAGGGTCTGGGGCTCTGAGACTCCCCACCCCCATGTAACTGTGTTTGGGGGAAAGGAGCAGGGGCCGCGTTGGGACCTTGCCTAGTGCAGCCCCCTGCCCTGTTTGCTAACCCAGCAAGAGCCAGGGACTGGGGGGGGGGGGGGGGGGGGGGGC